ATTGGATATATTAAATTTCTCGACTTCAGTGTATTAAACACATACAAAAAATAGATTATAATCCGGACAAGGCATAGGCAGCATCTTATCTTTTGTAGTTCTGTGCGCATCATTTATAATAATGTAATAGGCACAGAATTAGACTTTTCAAGCTATATTAGCGACGCCTTGATAAAGTGAAAGCATTTAAACATCCAAGTCTACTACATCCATAAAGAATTCATGGGCGACCACGGGCACCAAATGTATTTAGTAGCTCCAACTCATTAAACTTGTAAATGTAAAGACGACTATTAAATAATGTTGGTGACCTAAGTGCAAGGAAAGGACAAAAAGCGCAAGCGTTGGAAGGAAAGGGTGTATATATCAGACAGCTTACCAGCTTTAAATGTTTTTTTAAAAAAGGCCACTTCTGCAGCTCAGACCGCTAGGATAGGCGCATTCGATCAATGATGAACAGTTTGCACTACATCCTACGTTTCGTGGCAATAAAATTTTTGCATTAACTTACCTCAAAAAATTGTACCTCATTGAACGAATTATGAAGTCTTCCTTCAAATGGCGCGTAAAATTTGCAGGTGTGAAAAAACAAAAGAAAATGGGAGAATAAAACAGATTTGTTGGATTATGCATTCGTACCTGTTCAGGGAAATGCCTCATGAACTATATATTTAATGCACCTGTGGGGTGGGAGAAATACCACGCCTCCTCACGCTGTCAGATGACAACACGAAATGATAGCAGTTTCTTTTTCAAATCCGTGTTTTAAGAACACCTCGCATTTTTTAAACATACTCAATGCTAAGATGTGATGTCGTTCAATTATGTCACTTGATACGGACTGGAGCATGTCATACATAACTGATTAATTAATTCGAGTAATATATGACACCCGCCCCTTGCAATTTAAAAGATATTTAAAGCGCCACCCGTGTCATATAAAGCTGCGCATTCAATGAAGTTGCCGAAGTATTATAATTTATTCGGAAAATAGAACCAGCCACATATTAAAAATATACTAAAATGTCCAAAGAAAACAATTATTTGAACGGAGATCATATGCTCATTATGTGTCAGAGAGTGATACTTTTAACTCTACAGCAACGACCTTATTTGATGAGTAATTATAGTAAGGCCGCATGTTTGACGCTGACGAAAGGCAGTCCCTTGACAATACAATTAACTTTTAACTTTCCCAGTTGAAAAGGTTTGTTCACTTGTCAGTTTGATTCAAGAAGTAAACCAGGTTCATATAATTTACTATTCAAAAAATGTTTGCGCATCTATTTATCATAGCATCTCCACCGGTAAAGCAATTTATTGCAAACTGCGATCGATTAATCATGGCAATTTAGTTGATGGCATTTCTTGTGCGTACGTATCTTTTATTCTCATTGAATATTGATAAAACTTCGTACCTTTGTTCCAGCTAACAGATGACTCATGGTCGTCTTCTTCGTTTCGCTTCTCTTTTACTGATGAAAGCCTATATGGACGTATGGTTGATGTCAATGAAGATGGAGATGAGCACGTACGTGACTATCAGCAATAATGTAATGACATCAAGACAATGCAGCAGCGGATTGTTATCAGTGGCCGAAACTCGTCCGGGCGGATCCACACCAAGACGTGCACCAAATCTTTATCGCAGCTGGGCTCGTTGTTACTAACAAACGTACGACCAGTACTTTAACGCATCGCCAACACACAAAAATCAATCTTCTTTTCGCCGTTTTCGGGCGTCAAAGCGCTTTTTTCATTGTGTGTATGAAAGAATGGCAGCAAATGGCTCATATTATCAGCAGCGACCAGATGCAACTGGCAAACTAGGTAATATATCGTTTCGTCGTTTCTTAAAGTGACAGCTGCTTCACGTGTACTAGCATACAAAGTATCTGTTAAAGATTTAAGCGATAAATGGAGATGGGCAAGTCAACAATTCTGCAGGCGATACATTATTTCACAAATGGTACTATTGACCCGTTCACTAATGAGTACCTGATGCGAATAAATGAGGATTACTTGAGGCCCTTTCTTCTAACTTTACAAAATGCTGCTTTCAAGGAATGCTTGGGGCAATTGATTGCATTTAGTGATGATGGAATAGCTGCACTACAGGCTATTCTTGGCAATACCGGGGAAACGATAAAAAGCCGACACTGGTTTTAGATGCCATTATCGACCGAGACCTGTGGTTCTGGCACACAAACTTTGGCTCTACTGGCTTGCTAAAAGACATTAACATCATCAACAAATCGCCGCTATTTGCAAACTTGTTCAATATCAACGCCTCCTGGTTGGAATTTGTAGTGAGTAGCCATACATACCGTAAAGGTTTTTACCTTGAGGATGGTACATATCCCAAATTAACTATTTTTTGTAAAGACGATCTCGATCTTTTTATCGGGAAAAAGCAATGTTTTTGCAGTCGACAAGAAGGCAAACGTAAGGATTTGGAAGGGCATTTTGCGAACTCAAGGCTCGCTGGCGCGTCATTGACCTGCCATTTAAATACTGGTACAAAAGCGCCATGACAAAATACATGAAAGCGTGTACAATCTTGCAAACTTTAATAGTGGAGGACGAGAGGGGCCAGCAAGATAATTTTGGGCACGGCATAATTATTTATAAAGAAGAAGACCAAATTTACAGTGTGTTTTCATATTTTAGAGTAACATAACTAAACGGAATGCATTCGTCGGCAAACTAAAAACAGTTACTCTTTTTTGGGATCCTTAACCTTCAATGCCGTCAGGTTGGTCAATGTAGATCATCTTCCACTAAGCCGTTAAGAAACGCTATGCAAAAATCTACGTTTCTTCCCCCAGGTCTATAGCTGCAGCTATAATCAACAATGTCGTGATTGATTCCTTGCGCGCCGCTGGTGCAAAGGCCTCGTTGTAGTCGATGCCAGGACGCTGCGTGAACCTTATAGCAACAAAGCACACCTTAAGATTATTAATATCTCCACTTGGGTCTAATTTGGTCTTGAAGACCCACTTGTAGCCTACGGCTTTCTTGCTCGGTGGCATTTTTACTGGCATTAAGTGCTGAGCGTTTATGCGACGTCATCTTACTTTTTATTCCTGCAGTCAATGATCCTTGTACTTGCTCTTCAGCACTATAAAAACTGGACGCTTGTTCCTCATCTTCTACAGACAAAAATTTAGAAAGAGTCGAATTCACCTTTGCAGGCGTTCAGATTAAAGTGACCACGACAATGGCTTGGCAACTCTTGTCCGTAGCGAACAACGCCGCACTTCTCCACATTCATTGCACCATCCACTTTTCTTCTCTGTTTCTTTCGGGTGTGCTGGAGGCGCGCATCGGAATACTGTCGCTTGGTTTGACGCTTGGACCGTGATGAGAGATGTTCTGCGCTCGTAGTGGCGGGGTACGTAGCGCTTCTACAGTCATTGGCGTTTGCATGTCTTCCTCATCATGTGTCGCCGCCTCCAGATCTTTCTTATCTTCAATGACATCGAAGACACGCGTGTTTCTGCCTTGCGATGCTATCGAGAAAACGTAATGCTTCTTGAAATCACGATAAATCCGTCATTCGCGGTTAAAAGCCGATACATATATTGATTCTTCGCGCAGCCGCGAAAGAAACATTGTACGCCTGAGTCGTCCAGCTTCTTCCTCTACTCCTTTGCCACGTGCGCATAGCATTGCGCACCAAACACGCACATGTGATCGATGCGCGTAACCTTCTTAAAAACCATCTTATGCGGGCTTGAGTTCTTGTTGGACGCGTTCGGCTGAATGTTGTGAATGTCTGCCCCTGTCATCAGTTTTTGCACCTGTACAAATTGTCAGGACCGCTGTCACTGAGCATGCAGCGCTTCTTCTTTACAAGCGTGCAGTTCATCCGCTCCGCCATCCCGTTCTGTCCGGACTTGTACGGAACCGAGAACTCTTTCTTGACAAACCTTGCCATACGAAAGTTTCCATCGGTGCATTCCGGTGTTCGCCGCCGTTGTCACTTAGCAGCTCCTTTATCGTTGCTTCAGACGCGGACTTATCTCTTGGTAGAATCTGAACGCACTCGCAGCTTCGCTTATCTTTTGCAACGGGTAGATCTTCACATGTCGGCTCTTAATCATGATGAATTGTACGGTGTAGCTGAAATCGGACTTAGATGCTGGCGTTACAGGTCCTAGAAAGATGAAGCACACCACCACTTTGGAGCGCGAACTCTCTCTGACTTCAGGTTCTTCTTTGCTTGTATTGAATGACTTGCGTACTTGCTTTGACGTTGCGGATAAGTCGCACGCAACGCTCGAATATACCGTCGATCTTTAAAACCTTTAGTCTTTAACCATGGCATTCAGTTTACCGTAAGACATGTGGCCTAGTCTTCTATGCCATAGCTCAGTATCGTCTTCGGCTATGTGGCACTTCGTACAATAGTAAGCTTTAAGGTACAGTAGGCAGCCCTGCTTCCTTCCAGTTGCGACTGGTGTGCCGCCACGCTTCACTACGCACTCGTTGCGTGTAATCTCCACTGTCAGGCCGCACGCTGTCACCGCCGTGAGCAAATCCAGGTTCTTGGATAAATTTCAATTGTCAAGTGTTCTCTAGGCGAGCGTCGATTCACGCATGCCCTGTACTGACGCGCAGCTTCGCTATCCCGTGTCCGATGACAGTCAGCTTCACGTCGCCCTTCGCTCATAATTTTTTATAGGCATGATGCACTTCTTAGTACTCTTCGAAAGCATATCGATCATTGCACATGTGTGCTGACGCACCACTGTCCATGAACCAGCTGTCGCACATGAAATCTTCGCTGTTATTAAACGCGACGTTTGACTGGTCATTTTGTTTTCTTCACTTGGCCTTCGACCGGATACACATTCTCTGGCGTGATGTATAACCTTGCCACAGTTGTAGCAAGTCCTTGATAGGCCTTTTGTGCGCAGTCCTTGTTTATTCATTGGGTACTGCATACCCTCCCTCTTGCCTGAATAGAGAGCCGTTGCATCTTTTACCCACGCAGCCTACCTCTGGCGCACTTCGTCGGCTATCAGCTTGCCTAAGAGGTCACTGGAACTAAAGCCTGCGACGGACATCCAAAATGCCTGTACCAAGCTCTCGAAGATCGAAGGTAGACTCCGCAACAGTACTGCGCACATGTCCTCTTCACTTAAACCGCAGTTTGCACCCTTTTTCTCCATCGCGAGGTCCTTCAGCTCCATCACATGACCACTCATGTTTGATGCTGCATACTTTAACGAGGAGAATTTCATCTTCAGCAAAAGTCGATTCGCCATGTCTTACCCCCGTTGAAATTGCGCCAAGCTTTCTTGCGCGTTTCTTGCATTCGCCGAGTCGATGACATCTGTCAATTGCTAATCGCTCAGATTGAGCACGATCGAGGCGTGAACTTGCTGTTTTTTGGCCTACTTGTTGTTTCGTCTCCCGCGATTGCGCTCCTCAGTTCCTTTGACATTCGATACATAGTTGTCTTGTATCTCCACAATCCTTAGTTCGAGCCGTCGAATGTCTCGACCTTTCGTCTGGAGTCGTGGTTTGAGCTAAAAACCTATCATTTATTTACTAGATTGCGGAGCTGAAACCAAGAAAGGCGGCTTACGACCGGGAACGAAAATGATGAAGATCAATGGTGCAGCTAAGTGTTGACGATGTATATTGCATGCATAGGGTTGAATGTTGCAATTATGTAGGAGTAGTTGCACGGCAGGCTATAGGGCACAAATTAATAAGTCGTTTGGAAATGGAACTTCAAGCTCCTGAGTGCGAGTTCGGATTACGCCGTGGACAACTTAATTGCGGCTGACCCCAGTGACCTAGTATTTGGGGTTTATCAGAACCTTGACCTCCCCACGTTACGTCCCCTACACCACGCAAGAACCTATTATTAAGCATATTTGAATGGAGTTTTAACCGCAGGCGTATAAGACAAGTCGTAATTACTTCAGATATAAAACGTCTTATAGGAGAGAAAGGACGGTGAAATCGGTGGCTGAAAGTCATCGACTTCTGATAGCCATTGGTTTCGATTTGCGAATCCGATTAAATGCGACTGAGTCGGTTTTGCATCCCGACCGGAAGACCGCCTCATCTAGAAGTAGCTTAGAAACCTGATTCATGCAGCAAAAAATTAAGAAGTGAGTTGTATTCAATTAGATACTGGATTGAAATAAGAATGGACAGTAGAAGCCGGTATCTCTCAGCAACCGTTTTCGTGCCCTGTCTCTACCGCTTTCTGTTATACCTATCACCGGTTACATAACGCCTCGTTTGTACCTTTATGTAAACACTTTATTGTGTCATATGCAGAATATCAACGATTGCGTGGTTGCGGGGGATGTAACTGCGGGTGTGGAACAGTTCTGGTGAATCTCAAGCACTAGGTCGTCAGCTTCAGTCACGATTGGTTGCACACGGCTTTGTTCAAACCCGCAATCACCCGCGTGGAGCCTTTCTTCCAAAATACTTATTTAAACTTGATGCTTTGTCCAATCGCTAATATTTACCAATACAAAGCGGCCAAAATCCATTAAATTAGTGCTTATATGCAATATACATCCTGCACATGTGGCTGCAACATTACTCGCTAACATGTTCAAGGCTATATAGCTTAAAAATAAGTATTGCAATTTTAGTCAGGACTTTGTAAGTCACTTATGGAGTAAGAGAGGACAAGAGAATAATTTATGCTCATGAAAGGATAAGGGTACGGCTACTGTTCTTTTGACTCCTCATCAAGTTGTTCATCCTGTTCACGCTTATCCACATAGATCTTTGCTTGCTTGTTGTTTTTCAGTACTCGGCGCAAAGCGGCTTGAGCAGGCTTATTTAACAGCTTCGTCGCGATCGGTCAGTCTTAATAAATTTGAAACCAATACAGTTGCTCTCCGAGAGCACGCCTTTGTCTAAGCAGTTCGCTTGATTTCATCAGCCATTGTCTTCTCATCGTCATGCATCTGCTTTTTAAAGATGACCCAATGCTTAATTTGCTGTCTAATTGTATCGGCCTTATACTCGGTCTTGGCTGTGATGCCACAGCCACCTTTGCGCTATGCTGCATGAGATCGAGCTAAAATTTTCCGTCTTTGCACGATTGTTGCCTAGATGGCTAGCAGACAGTGTTTACGAGGCATCCAAGAGCACAACGATACCTTTTCAGCATCAATACATGATTAGAAACTTAATTTAATTTTTCTTGGCGCCTGCTTCTGCAGACTATACTAAATAGACGTGAATAAAAGAGTTTTGGAGGCAGGTACAGCAGTTCGTGAAACGAAATCCAGACCACTTGATTGGATCCGGGTGTGGCGAATGGTGAAAAATACGCTAGGATTCTAGTAAGCGATGGCATGAGTCTTGCCGCCTTCGCTCAGATTTAAAATTTTCCGTTACATTGCAGTGAAGATCGACACATCTAGCGAAGTATACCCAAATCTCGGTTGCGCGTGATAACTTTCTTATCCAGCGCTGACAGCCCATTTAAATGCAAGCTTGCAGTTAACACATCACAAACAGGACGCCAGAAGACATCCACTTTCTTACCAGTACCGACGGAGCGTACTCACTGACTTGAAGTTATGCTGAGCACAATGATTTTATCTCTCGTTCCGTTCACCCTCGCCCGTACTTGCCGTTCATTCTTACAATGTTTCCTGAATTTTAAGGACGAAACTCATTTTCACCACCTAAAAATTGCGTCGGCCAATTACTCTGACAAATTTTGTAACAAATTCACGTCAAATTCTTCATAGGAAACGCTGATGGCAATGTGTAACAAAATTGGAGCAACCGATCCATTTGTGCCTTAGATAGACTTTTGTTGTGTAATTGTCACGGAAGAGGGGCCTTCGAAGGAAGTGCTTTGATACTAGACTCACATGAATATCATCGGGTGACATCTACAAATGTAGTTCATGCGCGAGCTGTCAATCTTTCGATCTTGCTCCCGCCTGCAGGAAAAAGTCAAATGTAGATTTTAAACTCATGCATCATTCGATACAAATCTCAGATTGACGAGGTTGCGCGAAACTATACTTCTGCGATCGACAAATTACTTGCAAACTACATGTTTTACGATATTTACGCCAGATCTGCAAGAACGACGGTTGCAAAGTTTTGACCGTTTCTATAAGCGATAGCGTGTTCGAACATATATAGCGATAAAATGGTTCGATTGCGTGGTCTGTTGCTTTTTGACCGAAAGACGTCGACCATGAGCAAGCGAGAGGTTCTACGCTAGTCATAAAAACTGCTATGACTCATTTGAGATGCAATGAAAGATGCCCACTCGGAGTAATGGCAATTGAGTTGCCCTTTCTCATACTGAATTCAATCCGACGTATAACAGCTTGCTTTTGCACATTGTTTAGAATGATCCAAGTTGATGTATAGACATTCCTTTGATGAAATGGGGTAGCCCGTTACATGATATTGATACCAAACGGTGTCAATAGGGAGAGTCTAGAGTGACAAATTCCTACAAATATTATCCAAGATGGATATATTTGAAGCAATAATATACCGTGGTAGAATTATAACTGATGTGCTGCTCGAAGATTGGTTGATAACAGACATGCTAACCAAGATTACCACCAATTCCTGCTAGACGCGCGTAATGAGTAGTGAGCAGGTTGTCATCATACGACAACGTAGATTAATAAAGTTAGATAACGACTGACGTTGTATTAGTAGCTTAACTACATTTTATATAGTTCCCTTTACCTTATACTCGAACTATCTGTTTAAGTATATTTACCTTCCTCTGCACACACTAGTGCACGTGAAGTTTCGTGGCACACAAGCGAAGGGTGCCCCGTTACAATCTGTGGTATCGACTAAGGTGACTGGTCGCAACAATAACATGTAAACGTTGAGTAGCATAAGCGGAGTTTCTTTTTCGTCAATGTTGTATAGCATCAGAGTGGTTTCTAGTTTGGCTTTCATTTTTCGGTCCCGCAACGTTTCTTCATTGGTGATAGTTGTAACGACAGTTGTGACGACATGTAACGGGGCAACCTGAAGCTTGTACTGGTGACAGTACAAGCTACTTATTCTGATGACAGAATAAGGCGGTTCCTCGGAACTTCACGTACACTCGTACGTGCAGAGGAAGACGGTAAGAAGAAGCGAGTACTTGGTTAAAGTAAAAAGTAGAACCGTATTTATCATAGTTAATGTCTGCAATAAATCACTATTTATCCTCATCTAACTATGTCTAGATACAAGTGTGCATATCAACTATCTGCTCACCACTCATTGCGTGCGTCTGTCGTGGCGCGTCTTCGTTGGTTGATATAATGGCCTATATCAACCAATTAGGAACAACTCGTAAGTGCTACAGAATATTTGTCCTTATGACAATATTCCGAGAATATAACTCTTATAGTCATATTCTATTAACAATTTCTTATAAATTGTTATGTAACGATTCACCCCGTTACATCACCCCCCTTAACCATCAGTCACTTTAGTGACTGATTGACTAAATGGATACTGGTCCCAAATCGTTTGGGACAGGGTTTGCACTTGATGGTCCGAGTCCACTTTCCAACAATTCATCGCATGGTTAACAAGCCCATGCGATGCGCGAGCAAGGTCGCCGAGAGCGCGTCCGCACGTCTCTGTGCGGACGCCGAAGCAGATACTGCAGCAACTGATATGTCATCGGTTGCTGAAGCGACTCAGCCTGTGTCACCTGGTGATGCAGGCGCTGGTCATGAAGACACTCATGGCTTCACAGAGTATGAGCTCGGTGTCTCATACTCTCCTGATACGGAAGACGGATCCGTATCGACGGCGATCGAATCCAAGCCGCCTGCCAAACGTGGCATGGATGATGCTATGCGTCGCAGCATCTTTGGTTCATCTGATGAATCAAATGAACCATCGCCGAAGCGAAGGCGCTCGAGGTCGCGAGACTTGGGCGCTAATAGTGGTGTCGGTTCTCCTATTGACACCACTACGCAGCGAGTTGCCAGTACTTCTGTCATCACGTCGCAGGAAGAGCGGGACCGCAGTGTGTTGCGTCTCGCTCCTGAAATGAAGGCATGGATGCCTCCAAAATCCGTCATGGATCACTTGTCGGCGACGACGAGTGATCGTTATCGAACACGATTGTTTGATTCGTCAAGGATCCATCACCTTGACCTCAGTGCGAAAAACTATCGCGCTGAACATGAGATCTTCATTGATGCTTTCTTTGAACGTCGATGGTACAGTGAGAATCACAAACGTGATGGTCCCTCACTACTTCAGATGTGGAACGTTCACATCCAGAACCTTGAGGTTGTAGGTCGTGACGCTTGGAACGACCAACTTATCAAAGCTCGTGATAAGTTTGAAAAGCGAACCCCGACAGGTGCACGCTACAAGCTGCATCGTCTGTCAAGGGAGAAAGGATTACCCTGCCTTTCTTGGGGAGACTCGTGCCCGTGTTGTGTAAGTAACTCTGCACGAGCACTGAGGAGGCTTACCTCCCTAATAGCCCGTGGTGGCGCGCACGTGTCTCTAATGAGATGTACGAAGGGATTGACAACCTGAAATCCCTTTACGACCGTGCCGGGAAGACTTTCTCCGGCGGTCCTTCTGCGGCACAGGATGTGCCGCATCGTACTGCTCGACCAGACCCAGTACGTCAACCATCAGTTGGGAGCGGGGCTACCAAGTATCCCAGGACGGGGGATAGCCGCGCCACCGGACGAGATAACTCGTCCGACGTCCGTTCACGTCGCGGTGGTTCAACAGCTGCTCAACTAGATAGCGCTGGCCACCGCGAGAGTCCTCTAATGGAGGTGGAGGAGGAGGAAAGACGCTCTCCACACGATCATGTGGATCGGTGTGTTCCTGAGAGCTTCTTTGATCGCGTAACGCAAGGGTTACGCGACGATCTCGAACATGAGCGGAATAGGCGTATCCAAATGGCGGACACTGCCTCGAAGCATCGAGCTGAATTTGCCTTTGCTCAGCTTGAGAACAAGAGAGCTCTGACGTCTCTTCGTGATGAGCTAAGGGCAGCTCGTGGGATTGTTGATCGGTTTTATGCTGAGGTAACTGCTCGTCAGACCCTTGTCGATGCCCACCATCGGGAGCACAAGGCTCTCTGCGAGATGCTTGAGCGCAAGAACGTTCTTCATCGGAAGAAGCTGCGTACTGATGGTACGGCTCAAGCCGACCAACGTAAAACGTGGGATGCGTTCGCATCTTACGTGGTAACTCGATCGTGTATGCATTGCCTAGGCGGTGCAATACACGAAATGGGCCGATGTACTTGGGTAGTAGTTTACTGCTACCCAAGTTAGTCACTACATTCTTTGGTAGATTAACCGTAGACGGTAGGACTGAGTCACCTTTACTAAATAAAAGAGTGTTTGCCCTTCCATTCTTGTCAGCGTTTTGCTTTTGCTTATCCACCGCTTCGGCGATGGAGTCTTGCACAAAACGGACTACCGTTTCACGAGCCAGTATGAACTCATCTGCTGGCTCGTTAGCTTCAGTGCGCTGTGAGTGCACTGCAGCAACATCAACCTTTTCTTCAGTGAGGGCTTCCGCACTCTCACTGGGATCATTGTCTTCAGTGAGGGCTTCCGCACTCTCACTGGCATCATCTTCTTCGATATCGATGTTATCGATATCGGCATCAAACGCAATGAACTCTTCGTCGGAACGTGATGAGCGTGAGCCAAATCGGTTTTTGCTCGCGCGAGTCTCTCCCCCTTAAGCCAGAGTCACACTATAGTAAGGTGGGTACACGCGGATGGCGCAAGCCATTCACGTAAAACGGTGTATGTGTCGTGGACGCATGCACCGAGTTGTTAATGCCAAACTCTACCATGAGCAAGAACTCACTCCAACTCTTAAAGGAGTGTACGTATCCTCGAAGTATCTCTTCGAGGACACGATTGGCACGTTCCGTCTGACCATCTGACTCTGGATGATCAGATGTTGACATCTTCAAGCGCGTTCCGAGTGATTTGAACACGGAACGCCAAAATCAGCAGTGAAGCGTGGATCTCTGTCTGATACGAGCTCACGGGACAACCCATGAAGTCGGAAGATGGTGTCAATAAAGACACAAGCACAGCCACTTGCCGTGATTGACTCTGGTACAGCCACAAGGTGTACCATTTTGCTGAATCTGTCAACAAATACGAGAATACCCGTATTCCCGTGTGCGTCTTTGGGTAACCCGAAGACAAAATCCATTGAGATGGATTCCCAGCACTCAGCCGGAACCGGTAGAGGCTGTAAAGGTGCACGCAGTGAAGGACTTGACTTCACTCGTTGACAGACTTCGCATGCGCGAACATACTTTCGCACAAACTGATACTGGCGGGGCCAGTAAAAGTCTCGACTCACCGTGAGATATGTTTTCTCACGGCCACGATGTCCTCCTATAGGAGCATCGTGATACTCGAACATGATCCGCAAACGCAGATCAGTATCATCTGGAATGACAACACGTGGTGTGTCACCAGAAACGGCTGTATAGTACAGTAACCCGTTGCGAGTAGTGTATCGATCTGATGCAGATCGATACGCAGGCGACAATCGTTTCAACGATTCTCGAGATGGCTTGGAGAGATGTGTCAACAACTCCACAATCTCACCATCTTGGGCGTATGCCCGCCTCACATCATCATACAACGTTGAAGATGGGACTGAGGACGTCATAACCGCAACAGTGACTGTCTCACTGTTGGGTTTCACGACTGGTTCAAAGTCGGGACGACGTGAGATTGTATCAGCGACGACATTAAGTCGTCCTGGTTTGTACTCAACCGTAAGGTTGTATTCTGCAAAGAATGACAACCACCGCGCCATTCGTTGTGAAAGGTGCGGGCTGATCACTGCCGTGCGTAATAACGCATGGTCAGTGCAAACGATGAAGGGTCTATCTCCTAATAGATAGACTCTGAGCTTCGCGAGTGCGTACTTCATGGCAAGGAGTTCCTTGTCATGCACTGGATAGTTCCGCTCAGCTGGTTGCAGCTGACACGACCGATAGCAGACGACGCGGTCAACGCCTTCAAGGTCGTACTGCATTAATGTACAGCCGATTGCGAAATCGCTGGCATCACATACCACATGAAATGGCCTGTCCTGATCGGCTATTGCTAGGACTGGGGATTGTATCAAGCTCTTCTTGATACCATCAAAGGAGCGCTGGCATTCAGCGTTCCATAACCACCTCTCGTTCTTTTTCAACAAACGAGAGAGGTGCACAGTCATCTCGGCGTAATTGCGTAAATACTTATGCAAATACGCCGCTAGCCCAAGGAATTTTCGAAGACCTTTGACATCGACCGGCACAGGCCAGTCGGTGATCGCCTTGATCTTTTCGGGATCAGGACGTACACCGTTCTTACCAACGATGCACCCAAGAAGTGGTATTTCGCTTGCCGCAAATATACACTTTTTGAGGTTAGCATACAATTGATGCTTTCGCATGATTGTAAGAACCTGTCGGACGTGGTACCTGTGAACCTCAACGTCCGACTTTCCATCCATAGCTCGACTATGGATGAATACGTCATCGAAATAACTCGGCGCGAATTCTCGTACTGGTCTCAACAGATGTGATACACATCTGTTGAACGTGGCAGGGGCATTACTAAGCCCTTGTGGCATTACTAGCCATTCCCAGAGCATGCCGCTAGGCGTGCTAACTGCGGTATAGGGTATATCCCGTTCCCGCATTAGGATTTAATAGAAGCCATCCATCAAATCCATGGACGAAAAGATGGTACTCTTTGACATACCATCAATGATTACGTCCTTCCTTGGTATCGGCGTCTGAGCCGGTACCGTTGCAGCATTCAACTTGTTAAATGCATGCACTATCCGCCACCCTCCTGTTGCTTTTCGCACACAGAAGGTCGGAGAGCTATGTGGGGAAGTTGATTCCCTCACATGGCCCGCAGCTAAACGATCGGCAAAGAACTTGTCGATCGCAAGTACTTGTTCACGAGGCAGTGGCCACTGCTTCATGACACAGTACTTCGAGCCTGGTTTAAGCTCGACCTCGTGTCGAATACCTTTATCCTTCGGTAACTCGCACGGAACAGTTTCAGGGATTACATCCTTGAATTCAACCAAATCTTCATAGAGAGGATTTGTCTTGAGCAATTCCCACGATTAGAGGTCATATCGCTCAACTCGTGTCTTTTCATCTAGGACACTCTCGTCCATAGATGAACTACTGAGAACTCTCTCGTTCTCAGTGGACACTTTTGCTGACCTTATGTCGGTTACACACTCGTCGTCAGCGACGAGTACGCAGATCTGCTTGACTTTGCCACTACGCAGATCACGCAAGAACCTTTTATGTTCGAGCGTTGGCAACTGAGTGATCTCCGAAGTCAACTTCGGAGGCGCAATCAGATCAAGTGTATAAGCGCCTACACTTGATCCGTTATTGACTATGACATTCAATGTCTCTGTCATTTCCTGGGGATTATTCCCTCGGGCCTCGAAGGACTTATTCCTTCGGCTTCCCGGGGACTTATTCCCGCGGGTTTCGGGGAGCTTATTTCCGCCGTATTTGTAATATCGAAACTTATTCCCTTTACTTCCTCTGGCTGGGGTTGCGCAACCACAGCGAGATCGTCTACGAAAGACTCTCCAGTCGATCTAGGATTATCGTTTCGCTTAACTTGAGCGATCGATTGTTTCTCTTCTAGTTGTTCCCCGCTAGGAATACATCTTTGTCCCGGTCCACTCGACTTATTCGAGTGGTGGACCTTCGGCGCAGCCTGTGTTTCCTCACAGCCGCCGGAACTTTGCTCCGAAGTGTAACTGTTTGGTACACTAAGGTTTTGTGCAGTCGTACTAACGACCGTACCACAAGTGAGGCCATCGCACTCACTCGTAGTACATCCACACGCTTGTGGACGCTCCAAAACGTTCACCAGATGGCCATCTGATAAATAAGCGGCAGGCATCGTTACTGTTCGATGTTGCCAGTCTACCCGTGGTTCGTACCTTCTGAGCCACGGTATTCCAAGGATGACATCAAATTTGTCATCCAAATCCAATACGAAAAAGTCATCGTCATATTGGGTATCTTCCAGCGTGTAGTGGATTTTCACTATACGCTTCATGACGGTTACGGATGCGCCTGTCGCAAGACGTACCGTCATCCTCGTAGGAGGTGTGTCATTTTTACTGTAATTGAAGTGACCATCTTCTAGCGATTGGCGTCGCACAAAATTGTTGGACGCCCTACAATCGACTAGAGCTCGAAGGGACAACTTATTCGTCACTTCGAGTTCCGAGGTAATGAGTGAGATCTCATTACCTAGAGCAGCAACGCACAACGTTTTTGTGTTGGGAGCAACCTTTATCAAGAGTCCTACTAATTCTCTTGACGTTGCTGTACCAGTAGGGTGCTCCGCACCTACTGATCCTGTCTGTTTTTTGAAGGTCCATCCCGTTGTTGCGTCTTTGCACCAACAGCGGACCCGCGTCCCTGCCCCTCTCTCATGGGTGGACGGTCATTACGCCCAGTGTTGCGAGACACTGGACGAGGGGCACTACACTCATAAGCGTAGTGTCCTGTCTTTTGACATCTGTTGCATTTCTGCAACTTCTTGTAGTCTGTAGAGCGAGCCTTCTCGCTCATACATAACAGAGTTCCATCGGATCTGGATCTCCGTTGTCATATTGTCTCGGTTGACGATATGATGTCGAGCTGGCGCGAGCCTGTCTCAGATTGAAGTCTTCCTGTTCCGCAATGGAAATGTCTTGTTCTAGTGAATCTAGTTCAAGTCGGAACAGGTGAGTCTTGACGGGACCATCCGAAAGACCCTGCATGAACACCGAAACCAACGTGTGTTCATCCACCGGATTGGAACTTATACAAGTCGTGAGATGTCGTATATGTTGCGCGTAAGCGTGTACATCACGCTTACCTTGTTTGGAGTTTCAAGAGTTCAGTTCGAGCCCTGAACTCAGATCTAGGCGGCTCAAACGTTTGTCCGAGCCGCGACTTGAAGACTTCTAACGACCCAAATACATATGGGTCGTGCAACTTGAGCCCCAGTGCCCAAGTCTTGGCACGTCCTGCCAAATTTGACTGGGCAAGTGCAACTTGCATATCCCCGTCGTCGATGCGACGCGCCCTTACGGCGTCATCCAATTCGACAAACCATCTCAAGAGGGAGTCCTCTTCGACTCCCCTATACTTGGAGATGTCAATCTTCAAGGTCTCGGGTTGACGCGAGTGCATCGACCCGCCAGCAGCAGCCTGCTGCTGTCTCAACAGTTCAAACTGTTGAGCACCCTGTTCTCGCAACAACTCTGCTTGTTGAGAACCTTGTTGGTGAAGCAAGCCTACTTGCTCGCGTTCAGCGTCAAGTTCATTTTGAATGAACTTGGCGATAGTAGCACGTTAAGCATCTCTATCGAGAGCCTCTAGCATGACGCTAACAGCAAGGATGCCCAAGGTTGAATTCATCCGTTCAACCGCATCCCATTCGACATCGCTCAATTGGGATTAGCCGTCACGCGTATCGTGAAAGCTTTGGTCATCTTCATCATCCAACATATTCATATTAGATGTGAGCGTGGCCTTTGGACGGACTACAAAGTGCTACCAGGTGTAACGGGGCACCCTGAAGCTTGTAATGGTAACAGTACAAGCTACTTATTCTGACGACAGAATAAGGCGGTGCCTCGGAACTTCACGTACACTCGTACGTGCAGAGGAAGACGGTAAGAAGAAGCGAGTACTTGGTTAGAGTAAAAAGTAGAACCGTATTTATAATAGTTAATGTCTGCAATAAATCACTATTTATCCTCATCTAACTATGTCTAGATACAAATGTGCATATCAACTATCTGCTCACCACTCATTGCGTGCGTCTGTCGTGGCGCGTCTTCGTTGGTTGATATAATGGCCTATATCAACCAATTAGGAACTACTCATAAGTGCTGCAGAATATTTGTCCTTATGACAATATTCTGAGAATATAACTCTTATAGTCATATTCTATTAACAATTTCTTATAAATTGTTATGTAACGATTCACCCCGTTACACGACAGCTAAACGGATAACTTTAGTTAATGCCGAGGAGGGGCAACCTACATCCCGATGAGACTTTTGTTCCAAAAGTAGATTGATAGCACGGATCATTCTTTTCTTTTCGGATGCGCTCATTAGCAGAAACATCCTCAAGAGGGAAACAGAAGCGTCCCAACTTTTCACATCCTTGCTACCAGTTTATGATATCCGTAATGCAAGCTGCTATTACTTTATTTCAGCATGTAAGCGGTGTCGTACATGGCATTCGAATAAACTCCTCGACCAAAGAAGTGTTTCCTTGCCGATGACTTCGTACGTATTTACAATCCTGACACGGAACGAACGCAACGGTTTCGCGTGGTAGTCAGATTGTAAATCTTTCAATGAACTTTATCGTGATGTCGTACAGCAATACCATGCAATTACAGCTGTATTCCGAGCAGCTTTTTACACTATGAGCCTCATTTCTATAATATCTGGCACATCAGCATACATGCACATGTACCCGGAGATGAAGAAAGTATTAAGTCATCACGCAAATGCGTATGGACCTCGGAGGAATGAATAGGTTGTTCGCATTATTGTTACACACGCGACGACGTGTCCTTCTGGCGCAGGGAAGAAGAGTGGTACAGCGCGGATTATAACATTAAGTAAAAGTCTTAGGACGTATTTTTGTCGTTAAAGTGGATCATAGCGCGGGTCAAAATATTAACGAAGACGATATGGAACGAACGCACGGGTCAAGAACTTCAGCCGACACCAACTAATTTGACATGAAAATGAAGAATGGCCTGGTAAATATCTGTATGAGAGATTAGCCGGTACGATGGAGAAATGGAATTAACATAGACAGAAGCGATGTTGTAGACGATTAAGTGATCCAGCGTTAATTAATGGCTACAATTCGTAGCTAATAGAGACACTGTACGATCCTGACACCACTGATTGATGTTGTAAAGATACATTGCATCCATTTTTGTAGTCCCACGCCATGATTATGGACTCGCCACGCACACGTCGCTCAACAGTGCGCGTTCTTAGACGAAGTATCCATTGACGATCGTCACAATTGCAGCAATTACGGCGACGCCAACCATCTTCATTAGTCGCATCTGGAATCGAGTGAACGGATACATGAAAATGGCCAGAATACGCTTCTTGGCCCGTGTGTACGGAGGATAGCGCTGAGGCAGATCCAATACACCATTTTTGTATAGCACTGCCTTGAAGTGTGAAAAGGCCCTGAAGCCGTAGTGGCCGTGGTATGATCCCATGCCTGAGCTACCGACACCACCGAACGGAAGATTAGCGTTTGCTATCTGCATCATGGTATCGTTTATTGCCATGCTGCCAGCCGACGTTTCATTTACCACACGCTCCTTCATCTTGCCGTCGGAGCTAAAGTGGTAAAGCGCGAGTGGTTTGTCTCGGGCTGTAATAAAGTTGACGGGCTCATCCAAATTACCAGTGGTGTAGTAGTAGATCGGCAGCAGAGGGCCAAATATTTCTTCGCCCATTGAAGCGCTTGACAAAAACGAGCGAAGATCCGAGCGGAAATTCAACAGCGTCGGTGAAATAAAGCGCTCTTTGGCGTCAGTCTCTCCACCATGCGTCACACATTTGCGGTCTGTCTCCAGCACGCGTACTAAGCGGTCAAACATGCGCTGATTGATCACACGACCGTAGCTTTCCGATGACTGCACGTTGCCGGAGCCGAACTGTGCCACGATTTCTTCTTGTAGCAGCTGAACGAACTGGTCCCCGACTTTTGCGTCCACCAGCAGATAGTCCGGACGGACACAAGTTTGTCCAGCATTCACAAAAGCTCCCCACGCAATGCATTTCGCAGCCAGCTGTAAATCAGCTGTACTGTCCACAATACACGGCGACTTGCCTCCAAGCTCCAGCACCGTCGGCGTCAAGTGTTGCGCTGCAGCTTGAGCTACTATTTTGCCCAGAAAAGTGCCACCAGTGGCAAAAATAAGGTCGAAACGTTCTTGTAGCATCGTTTTGGTCTCATTCACACCTCCGTACACGACGCGCACGTAGCGTTTGTCCATGTACTTGTCAAATAGTTTCAACAAAACGTCGTTCAAATACCTCGTCGTATCATCTCCAGGCAGTCGCACGAGCACGCAATTCCCTGCGCCCAGAGCTGCTACCAACGGCATAAGCAGCAGATTGATGGGGTAGTTCCATGTACCAATGACACACACAACACCGAGAGGTTCAGGTCGGACATACGACAGGCCCGGGAGGTTTACGACATTTGTCATTTTGATCTTGGGCTTGGCCCAATCCGCTACATAGTCGATATAATCCTGGATTTCGCACTTAAGCAGCGACACCTCCGTCACCAATAGCTCCATCGGGTGTTTGTGCAAGTCCTTCCATACAGCCTCATTAATCATCGCTTCGTTCTCGTTCAGAAGACACTGCAGCGCCAGAAGCAGCGACTTGCGTGTCTTCACGGCTTTCGTTGCGCCTGTAGCGAAACTGGCGCGTAAAGCCTCGACGTCGGCGTGCGTGTCCTGCTTGGACACATCAGGCAGTGGCGGGGCGTTCGTAGTGGAGCTGTACATGTTGATGCTGGGATGGGGTTACGCGATGGAAGCTGTGGATACTATTCGGTTGGATGTTGGTGATGAAAGATACTTTACGTTGACTGAGACGATGTCCGACGTTGTACCCCGAATATCTTACAAAATGAACAAAATTAAAGAGGTCGTCGCAATCGCACCTGACGGCGGGCGCATCCTAATTTTATTATAGAACTGATCGCAACCAACCAGGTTTCGTTAATTACCCACCTCTTCCCATTATATCTGGGTAGGTCTAAAACGGGAGCCTGTGTAGCAGCTACACTGTTTGACGCGAACACGTTTGACAGGTTTCAAGGCTCAAGGGGTTTACCGCGCTACGGTCGCATCTAAGTGACAGTTGTCAGACCAGGTGACATGGGGGACTACGATGAGGCGATCGGGCAGATGAGCCTGGGAGAAACAGGTCAACGACTTGACAGATTAGGCAGCGAGGTGGCGACCGGACAGTTGGGACAAGACGACACGGTTGCGACGTCGGACCACCGTATGATATGGGCAGGAACGACCATGTCGTCAGACGAGTACATGATCGAATTGCAGTGCAGTTCAGGTGAATGTCGAAGCATTGACGAAGGATAAAAAACATTTCTAACATATTTAAGCTACTTCGACTACCTCTGCACAAGTGCACGTCAAGCGTCAACGCATCATGAATTAACATGGTATGAGTCTAAAACCACGCCCCGGCCATCTCATCTGGGACCGACTTGTGCAACGGAAATCCGCTGGTAATGGTGCGTCGTGCACAAGGCGCCGAAAATGACTTTTAGAAATTGATGAAGATGGCGCACGTTACGACTGTGATGAAGGAAGCGCAGTACAGTGACGCGATGATGGCTGGCTGTGTAGTGGCTACAGAAAACTTTAAAGTTTGGTGATGGACGACTTTGTTGAAGGACGGTCTAGAGGGATGTATATCCGGCAAGACGACTAAATGTTGTGCGTGGCACGGATGGTCCGCACGCACGGGGAGTCACGAGGTCGCGCAAGACAACAAATTATGACCAAGGAGCAAGCTCTCAAGACCAGCAGATCTTAGATGGTGCAGAAACCCCTTCTTTAGAAGGCGCCAAAGGACCATTTCGAGCTCTCACGAAAGAAGGCTCGGTGTCAGGGTAGCCGTGGGTCATGATTGCTGATGAAGATCGACAGAGAGGCCGTCAAGTTAGCCTTCAACTTGGCCATTGAAGGGGAGTGTTGGAATTTAAGTTGTCATGGCAGACACTCTCTTCCGAGTCAACGCCCTAGCTGCCAGGTTCGGTGGTTATAGTAGGTGATTTGTGTGGATACAGTTAGTTACAAAAGGTGAATAGTTTGTCAAGCGCAGAATACAGAAAAATCTCACTCCTAAATTGGATAAGCCACTGACAAAGCCTTAGGCGGAGCCGGAACGCGTCTGTCGCGCCTTCGTAAGATAGAATTCTTTTACTATGCTTTCTATTTTTTTCCAACATGCAAATCTTTACAGTAAAAGCACACGCATTCTTTTTAAATGATGGGAGAAGGATCTTGAGCTCGCATATTAATTTATGTAGAAAGTTGTTCGATTCATTCCATTTTTCGTTAAGCAAACAAAGTCAGCAATACAGTTGTCATTAGTTCATATTTGAACATTGTCTAAACGGTGACACATTTTTATTGTATTTAAAAGGTTGGCCAGAACGTGACAAGGCTTGTTTAAAACATTTTTACGCATGAAATAATCTTGGTATACTGAAATGGTCCTGGGAAGGACTGATTGAATTACTATTTCGTTCAAAAGAGGAACATAGTAGGTGTCACGAAGTAGTTTTTATACAACTTTATTTCACATGAATCTGTAGCGAACATCTCTGCTCCTTAGTTTCTTTCGCACGGTACATTGTGCTTTTTAATGCCTTAATATAATCTTGTTGCCAAAGCTGGGTGATGAGCTAATTGACAACTGATGATGGGTAAGCTGCAAGGGCGGATCTTATCGCTGGGTGAGCACTAAATTAATCTTGTGTCGGTTTGGCTCTTCCAATACAATAAACATGTGACAAGCTCAGTTTGTCGCATGTCTATCGCCTGCACCACTATTATTTGTACAAGAACTTTTAACTAACGACGTACTTCGGCATCAGCACTACTGCACACGAGTTTGCGGAACATTATGCTTCTAGTGTGCACCATGGCGCACTTCGACTGTTACAAGGCATGTAGATAAACCACAATTACCGCCTCCTTATACTTGACCACATCTTTTTTCAATTTGTTACGTGACGTCCAACGCGGTGCTAAATGTGATTTCTTTACAAATCGATTGTACGTCTGGCAGACCGAAGATAGCGTAATAAAAATGTGGCTGTTAAATATGGTCCGAACATATAATATTACACGGTATATATCCGAAACGTTTTATGTCAACAAGCATAATACAACACATAGTACCATTTTAGAGTTGTGCATTCCTGAATAAAGCGCTTGTATTATAATGAGCAAAATGTTGGCTGCTGTCAAAACAATCCTTGATAGCAACTTCTAAGCTTGTCGTGAACAAAATTGTAATTAACTCTTTCCTATGAAGACCGATACATTGTTAACCGTGCCCTTTTTTTTAGACAAACCGTGTCACGTTCTGGTCAAGCTTTCACGCCGTGTCAACTATTTAAACAAATATCATTATATTTTGGGGCTGTCTAGGTGTACACCCCCTAGTAACTGCGCGCACCCCCCCCTGTGTGTATAATTGTCTAATCTTTCTGTGTACCCTCTCGTTAAATATAAATGAGGTTTGTTTTTCTCTCACGCTGACCAGCAACCGAGAGTTAGCGCGCGGAAGAAGCCACAAAGGACCATCACTCTCTTTTCACTGTATTGAAGTCAAAGCATGAACATCGAGGACGCGGCCACGCGCGCAGCCAAGCGCAAGCACGCCTCCTCGGACAGCCGCAAGCTGCTGAGCTGGGACGCGGCGCGCTGGAAAATGTTTAAGCGCACGCTGCCGTACACGACGCGCCTTACGAGCGCGCCACTTATACACCTGCGCGCCCCTCTCGCGTCTATGTACGTGAGATGCTGTCCCTTCTGCGGCGTGGCCCGTGCTTTCGCTCTCGTGTGTCTCTCTTTTTCTGTGCTGTTGTTTACGAGCTAAACGATCCATTTTTTCAGTCGAAAGAGTCACGCGCTATCGGTGGTGATGAAGCAACCAATTTGTCGGCACGCGCTCAGGGTCTGTAGTAAATTTGGGGTTCGTAATTTGATGCGACAGGCAGCGACACGTGTCTGCATGATATCAATTTGGTTGCGGTTGTGGTTGTGCTGTGGGGGTGATGGTGAGGGAATGGGAGGTTTTGACTGAACAATTGCATGGACTGATAGAAAGTAGGATGGATTAGATGTTCAGTATGTCAATCTAAAGGTTTACGGGAGCGTAGATAGGAGCTCTTTCTAAATGGTTTGGCATGGTAGGCTGTGGGCGTCACGTGTGAATGGTGTTACTGGGTGATTGTATGTAGATGAGGAAATGGGTCCGGAGGTGCACGACAATAGGTTGGCACAAGCATTTAGCAAGACGCTATTCGGCCACTTGAAGGGCAATGGAAAGGAAACGGACATGGCCGTTTACCGGGGCGGATGGCTAAAACTTTGTGGGGTTTCTCGTTGTGCGGTGAGTGATGACAGTGTTGGCGCTGAATGGAGAAACTCATGGGGCAAAATTGTGGTGCTGAAACCTTTTTGGTCGAACATTGCGGCCTGAATCCCGACGCTGCGGTTGGAGAGTTTGCAGTATCTACTTCGCCTGGTATCTTCACGGTGCGTGGGTGTTTGAGCTATGTAGGGAGGGCCGGCTGATTCCGTACTAAGTTTTGCTGTTTTTGACTTTTCTTTCGCATACTCCGGAAGCGCGAGAGCGAATTAACCACTGTCATTGAGGTTGTTACGGACCACGGTGCCATTTACACCCCTTTGCATGCTCCGTACAATTTTGGCGGCTTCGAGTATGAGGAGCCAATTTTTTAGTTCGTTGCTGGCGAAGGCAGCGGCATCCCTGGTGAAGATGGAAGCGTTTCAGAGCAGCTAATGGTTCAGTACATTGAATGTATCTCGAGTTGACTGAGTTCAGCGCTGCGCAACATCTTTTTTTCAGCCACAAAATGGGAATAGAGCTAAGCACGTAAGAGAGGAACTTTTACGAAAGGCGCGCATTCAGGTGTCAGGTCGTGTATTGCATACGAGCCAGCATAGATTGTGGTGCACTTGGATTAAAACGCCCTCTCGTAACTAGGCGCACAACCCCTGCACATTACACGACGAAATTCAAGTCCTTACGTCACACATCTAAAAATGGTTGCAACCTGAAGGGGAAAAGCATGTTCTTGTTCCATCTGGGCAATACACGTAGTAAAAAATACTCAATCCATATGTATTATATACTCTGCTAGCTGTGTGCTATCTCAAATGATGACAATTGCGCCTGTCATGTCCTTTTTTCCTCTCGACAATATGGATTTCCGCAACTTCGCGGAGCTCGCGCTCTAGCTTCCACTTACTCAAAAGCAGAAGGATTACGCCTTGTGCTACTCCCCGCCACCGCACCCACAGGTCTGCCTCGTCCGCACTACTACAGGATTGTGCACTGGCGTAAGAGGCTGCTGGGAGAGCTCTACAATTTGTTCCTCCAAAAGACGTTGCTGGTGTAGGGGGATAGTTTTGTGTCGAGATTGCAGCTGTGTCAATGCATCTGCAAATCTGTCATCGCATCTGCAGAGGTATCAGTGTCATTGCACTCAGGCTCTTGAGGTTTTACAAGCCACCAGCGCCTATGGAAATGGTGGGCTCCCAATGTAAAATTGTTTCCGATTAAACGGTTGAGTTCGTGGGAGCAAGATAGAACCATCGTACTTCGAAAGATGCTGGAGCAGGTGTAGTCGCCAGCCATGTAACGGGGCACCCTGAAGCTTGTATTGATGACAGTACAAGCTACTTATTCTGATGACAGAATAAGGCGGTTCCTTTGAACTTCACGTACACTCGTACGTGCAGAGGAAGACGGTAAGAAGAAGCGAGTACTTGGTTAAAGTAAAAAGTAGAACCGTATTTATAATAGTTAATGTCTGCAATAAATCACTATTTATCCTCATCTAACTATGTCTAAATACAAATGTGCATATCAACTATCTGCTCACCACTCATTGCGTGCGTCTGTCGTGGCGCGTCTTCGTTGGTTGATATAATGGCCTATATCAACCAATTAGGAACTACTCGTAAGTGCTGCAGAATATTTGTCCTTATGACAATATTCTGAGAATATAACTCTTATAGTTATATTCTATTAACAATTTCTTATAAATTGTTATGTAACGATTCACCCCGTTACATCACCCCCCCTAACCATCAGTCACTTTAGTGACTGATTGACTAAATGGATACTGGTCCCAAATCGTTTGGGACAGGGTTTGCACTTGTTGGTCCGAGTCCACTTTCCAACATCTCATCGCATGGTTAACAAGCCCATGCGATGCGCGAGCAAGGCCGCCGAGAGCGCGTCCGCACGTCTCTGTGCGGACGCCGAAGCAGAAACCGCAGCAACTGAGGTCTCATCGGTTGCTGAAGCGACTCAGCCTGTGTCACTTGGTGATGCAGGCGCTAGTCATGAAGACACTCATGTCTTCACAGAGTATGAGCTCGGTGTCTCATACTCTCCTGATACGGATGACGGATCCGTATCGACGGCGATCGAATCCAAGCCGCCTGCCAAGCGTGCATGGATGATGCTATGCGTCGTAGCATCTTTGGTTCATCTGATGAATCAAATGAACCATCGCCGAAGCGAAGGCGCTCGAAGTCGCGAGGCTCGGGCGCTAATAGTGGTGTCGGTTCTCCTATTGACACCACTACGCAGCGAGTTGCCAGTACTTCTGTCATCACGTCGCAGGAAGAGCGGGACCGCAGTGTGTTGCGTCTCGCTCCTTAAATGAAGGCATGGATGCCTCCTTGATCCGTCATGGATCACTTGTCGGCGACGACGAGTGATAGTTATCGAACACGATTGTTCGATTTGTCAAGGATCCATCACCTTGACCTCAGTGCGAAAAACTATCGCGCTGAACATGAGATCTTCATTGATGCTTTCTTTGAACATCGATGGAACAGTGGGAATCACAAACGTGATGGTCCCTCACTGCTTCAAGCGTGGAATGCCTACATCCAGAACCTCGAGGATGTAGGTCGTGACGCTTGGAACGACAAACTTATCAAAGCTCGTGATAAGTTTGAAAAGCGAACCCCAACAGGTGCACGCTACAAGCTGCATCGTCTGTCAAGGGAGAAAGGATTACCCTGCCTTTCTTGGGGAGACTCGTCCCCATGTTGTGTGAACAACTCTGCGCGCGCACCCAAGGAGGCTTACCTCCTTACTAGCCCGTGGTGGCGCGCACGTGTCTCTAATGAGATGTACGAAGGGATTGACAACCTGAAATCCCTTTACGACCGTGCCGGGAAGACTTTCTCCGGCGGTCCTTCTGCGGCACAGGATGTGCCGCATCGTACTGCTCGACCAGACCCAGTACGTCAACCATCAGTTGGGAGCGGGGCTACCAAGTATCCCAGGACGGGGGATAGCCGCGCCACCGGACGAGATAACTCGTCCGACGTCCGTTCACGTCGCGGTGTTTCAACAGCTGCTCAACCAGATAGCGCTGGCCACCGCGAGAGTCCTCTAATGGAGGTGGAGGAGGAGGAAAGACGCTCTCCACACGATCATGTGGATCGGTGTGTTCCCGAGAGCTTCTTTGATCGCGTAACGCAAGGGTTACGCGACGATCTCGAACATGAGCGGAATAGGCGTCTCCAAATGGCGGACACTGCCTCGAAGCATCGAGCTGAGTTTGCTTTTGCTCAGCTCGAGAACGAGAGATCTCTGACGTCTCTTCGTGACGATCTAAGGGCAGCTCGTGGGATTGTTGATCTGTCTCGGGATGAGATAGCTGCTCTTCAGACCCTTGTTGATGCCCACCATCGGGAGCACAAGGCTCTCTGCGAGATGCTTGAGCGCAAGGGCGTTCTTCATCGGAAGAAGCTGCGTACTGATGGTACGGCTTAAGCCGACCAACGTAAAACGTGGGATGCGTTCGCATTTTACGTGGTAACTCGATCGTGTATGCATTGCCTAGGCGGTGCAATACACGAAATGGGCCGATGTACTTGGGTAGTAGTTTACTGCTACCCAGGTTAGTCACTACATTCTTTGGTAGATTAACCGTAGACAGTAGGACTAAGTCACCCTTATTAAATAAAAGAGTGTTTGCCCTTCCATTCTTGTCAGCGTTTTGCTTTTGCTTATCCACCGCTTCGGCGATGGAGTCTTGCACAAAACGGACTACCGTTTCACGAGCCAGTATGAACTCATCTGATGACTCGTTAGCTTCAGTGTGCTGTGAGCGCACTGCAGCAACAACAACCTTTTCTTCAGTGAGGGCTTCCGCACTCTCACTGGGATCATCTTCTTCATTGAGGGCTTCCTCGCCATCACTGGCATCATCTTCTTCGAAATCGATGTTATCGATATCGGCATCAAACGCAATGAACTCTTCGTCGGAGCGTGATGAGCGTGAGCCAAATCGGTTTTTGCTCGCGCGAGTCCCTCCCCCCCTTAAACCAGAGTTACTCTCGAGTAAGGTGGGTACACGCGGATGGCGCAAGCCATGCACGTAAAACGGTGTTTGTGTCGTGGACGCATGCACCGAGTTGTTAATGGCAAACTCTACCATGGGCAAGAACTCACTACAACTCTTAAAGGAGTGTACGTATCCTCGAAGTATCTCTTCGAGGACACGATTGGCACGTTCCGTCTGACCATCTGACTCTGGATGATCAGATGTAGACATCTTCAAGCGCGTTCCAAGTGATTTGAACACGGAACGCCAGAAATCAGCAGTGAAGCGTGGATCTCTGTCTGATACGAGTTCACGTGGCAACCCATGAAGTCGGAAGATGGTGTCAATAAAGACACAAGCACAGCCACTTGCCGTGATTGACTCTGGTACAGCCACAAGGTGTACCATTTTGCTGAATCTGTCAACAAATACGAGAATACCCGTATTCCCGCGTGCGTCTTTGGGTAACCCGAAGACAAAATCCATTGAGATGGATTCCCAGCACTTTGCCAAAACTGGTAGAGGCTGTAAAGGTGCACGCAGTGAAGGACTTGACTTCACTCGTTGACAGACTTCGCATGCGCGGACATACTTTCGCACGAACTGATACTGGCGGGTCCAGTAAAAGTCTCGACTTACCGTGAGATATGTTTTCTCTCGGCCACGATGTCCTCCTATAGGAGCATCGTGATGCTCGAACATGATCCGCAAACGCAGATCAGTATCATCTGGAATGACAACACGTGGTGTGTCACCAGAGACGGCTGTATAGTACAGTAAACCGTTACGAGTAGTGTATCGATCTGATGCAGATCGACACGCAGACCACAATCGTTTCAACGATTCTCGAGATGGCTTGGAGAGATGTGTCAACAACTCCACAATCTCACCATCTTGGGCGTATGCCCGCCTCACATCATCATACAACGTTGTAGATGGGACTGAGGACGTCATAACCGCAACAGTGACTGTCTCACTGTTGGGTTTCACGACTGGTTCGAAGTCGGGACGACGTGAGAGTGCATCAGCGACGACGTTAAGTTGTCCTGGTTTGTACTCGACCGTAATGTTGTATTCTGCAAAGAATGACAACCACCGCGCCATTCGTTGTGAAAGGTGCGGGCTGATCACTGCCGTGCGTAATGACGCATGGTCAGTGCAAACGATGAAGGGTCTATCTCCTAATAGATAGACTCTGAGCTTCGCGAGTGCGTACTTCATGGCAAGGAGTTCCTTGTCATGCACTGGATAGTTCCGCTCAGCTGGTTGCAGCTGACACGACCGATAGCAGACGACGCGGTCAACGCCTTCAAGGTCGTACTGCATTAATGTACAGCCGATTGCGAAATCGCTGGCATCACAGACCACATGAAATGGCCTGTCCTGATCGGCTATTGCTAGGACTGGGGATTGTATCAAGCTCTTCTTGATACCATCAAAGGAGCGTTGACATTCAGCGTTCCATAACCACCTCTCGTTCTTTTTCAACAAACGAGAGAGGTGCACAGTCATCTCGGCGTAATTGCGTGAGTACTTATGCAAATACGCCGCTAGCCCAAGGAATTTTCGAAGACCTTTGACGTCGACTGGCACAGACCAGTCGGTGATCGCCTTGATCTTTTCGAGATCAGGACGTACACCGTTCTTATCAACGATGCACCCAAGAAGTGGTATTTCGCTTGCTGCAAATATACACGTCTTGATGTTTGCATACAATTGATGCTTTCGCATGATTGTAAGAACCTGTCGGACGTGGTATCTGTGAATCTCAACATCCGATTTTCCAACTATAGCTCGACTATGGATGAATACGTCATCGAAATAACTCGGCGCGAATTCTCGTACTGGTCTCAACAGATGTGATACACATCTGTTGAACGTGGCAGGGGCATTACTAAGCCCTTGTGGCATTACTAGCCATTCCCAGAGCATGCCGCTAGGCGTGCTAACTGCGGTATAGGGTATATCCCGTTCCCGCATTAGGATTTAATAGAAGCCATCCATCAAATCCATGGACGAAAAGATGGTACTCTTTGACATACCATCGATGATTACGTCCTTCCTTGGTATCGGCGTCTGAGCCGGTACCGTTGCAGCATTCAACTTGTTAAATGCATGCACTATCCGCCACCCTCCTGTTGCTTTTCGCACACAGAAGGTCGGAGAGCTATGTGGGGAAGTTGATTCCCTCACATGGCCCGCAGCTAAACGATCGGCAAAGAACTTGTTGATCATAAGTACTTGTTCACGAGGCAGTGGCCACTGCTTCATGACACAGTACTTCGAGCCTGGTTTAAGCTCGACCTCGTGTCGAATACCTTTATCCTTCGGTAATTCGCACGGAACAGGTTCAGGGAATACATCCTTGAATTCAACCAAATCTTCATAGAGAGGATTTGTCCTGAGCAATTCCCACGATTCAGAGTCATATCGCTCAGCTCGTGTCTTTTCATCTAGGACACTCTCGTCCATAGATGAACTACTGAGAACTCTCTCGTTCTCAGTAACCCTGTTGCTGACCTTATGTCGGTTACACACTCGTCGTCAGCGACGAGTATGCAGATCTGCTTGACTTTGCCACTACTCAGATCACGCAAGAACCTTTTATGTTCGAGCGTTGGCAACTGAGTGATCTCCGAAGTCAACTTCGGAGGCGCAATCAGATCAAGTGTATAAGCGCCTACACTCGATCCGTTATTGACTATGACATTCAATGTCTCTGTCATTTCCTGGGGATTATTCCCTCGGGCCTCGAAGGACTTATTCCTTCGGCTTCCCGGGGACTTATTCCCGCGGGTTTCGGGGAGCTTATTTCCGCCGTATTTGTAATCTTGGGACTTATTCCCTTTACTTCCTCTAGCTGGGGTTGCGCAACCACAGCGAGATCGTCTACGAAAGACTCTCCAGTCGATCTAGGATTATCGTTTCGCTTAACCTGAGCGATCGATTGTTTCTCTTCTAGATGTTCCCCGCTAGGGATACATCTTTGTCCCAGTCCACTCGACTTATTCGAGTGGTGGACCTTCGGCGCAGCCTGTGTTTCCTCACAGCCGCCGGAACTTTGCTCCGAAGTGTAACTGTTTGGTACACTAAGGTTTTGTGCAGTCGTACTAACGACCGTACCACAAGTGAGGCCATCGCACTCACTCGTAGTACATCCACACGCTTGTGGACGCTCCAAAACGTTCACCAGATGGCCATCTGATGAACAAGCGGCAGGCATCGTTACTGTTCGATGTTGCCAGTTTACCCGTGGTTCGTACCTTCTGAGCCACGGTATTCCAAGGATGACATCAAATTTGTCATCCAAATCCAATACGATAAAGTCATCGTCATATTGGGTATCTTCTAGCGTATAGTGAATCTCCACTATACGCTTCATGACGGTTACGGATGCGCCTGTCACAAGACGTACCGTCATCCTCGTAGGAGGCGTGTCACATTCACTGAACTTAAAGTGACCATCTTCTAGCGATTGGCGTCGCACAAAATTGTTGGACGCCCTACAATCGACTAGAGCTCGAAGGGACAACTTATTTGTCACTTCGAGTTTCAAGGTAATGAGTGAGATCCCATTACCTAGAGCAGCAACGCACAACGTTTTTGTGCTGGGAGCAACCTTTATCAAGAGTCCTACTAATTCTCTTGACGTTGCTGTACCAGTAGGGTGCTCCGCACCTACTGATCCTGTCTGTTTTTTGACGGTCCATCCCGTTGTTGCGTCTTCGCACCAACAGCGGACCCGCGTCCCTGCCCCTTCCTTATGGGTGGACGGTCACTACGCCCAGTGTTGCGAGACACTGGACGAGGGGCACTACACTCATAAGCGTAGTGTCCTGTCTTCTGACATCTGTTGCATTTCTGCAACTTCTTGTAGCCTGTAGAGCGAGCCTTCTCGCTCATACATAACAGAGTTCCATCGGCTCTGGACCTCCGTTGTCATATCGTCTCGGTTGACGACATGATGTCGAGCTGGCGCGAGCCTGTCTCAGACTGAATCTTCCTGTTCCGCAATGGAAATGGCTTGTTCTAGTGAATCTAGTTCAAGCCGGAACAGGTGAGTCTTGACGGGACCTTCAGCAAGACCCTGCATGAACACAGAAACCAACGTGAGTTCATTCACCGGATTGGAACTTATACAACTCGTGAGATGTCGTATATGTTGCGCGTAAGCGTGTACATCACGCTTACCCTGCTTGAGCTTCAAGAGTTCAGTTCGAGCTCTGAACTCAGATCTAGGCGGCTCAAACGTTTGTCTGAGCCGCGACTTGAAGACTTCTAACGACCCAAATACATATGGGTCGTGCAACTTGAGCCCCAGTGCCCAAGTCTTAGCACGTCCTGCCAGATTTGACTGGGCAAATGCAACTTGCATTTCCCCATCGTCGATGCGACGCGCCCTTATGGCGTCGTCTTATTCGACGAACCATCTCAAGAGGGAGTTCTCTTCGACTCCCCTATACTTGGAGATGTCAATCTTCAAGGTCTCGGGTCGACGCGAGTGCATCGACCCACCACCAGCAGCCTGCTGCTGTCTCAACAGTTCAAACTGTTGAGCACCCTGTTCTCTCAACAATGGGTTTTGCAACAAAGTGAATTTTACTGCCTTCAAGGACAGTTTGTATAGTCACATTATGGATTCTGGAGGGGAATAATATGTTACTTGGCACAGATATACCTACTTTTTGCTGTAATGAAGGTCTTAAGCTAATATATTCACTAACCACATGCAATATGCTATTACTTCAGACCTTTTAAACCAGATGAGACCTTAATTTGGCAAAATTATATGTGTACATGTCCCGCCACGCCCCCTTCCCCACAAATGCACATCGGTATCCGCATTGTTTTCGTTTCCAACTTTGAGGAATGATAAATTTTTGCCACACAGGCAGACTCCTATTTTATATTTTAGGGTGAAAAAAGATTGAAAATTGCTTTGTTTCCTTCCAAGTCATGCTAAAAAGACTTAAACAAACAAGAATTGTGAATTGTGATTATATTATACGGTATAAATAAATTCCAATCGAAGAAAATCTGTAAAAATATAGGAATTAATCCTTAAATCACCCTTAATAAACTGTCTAGTATGTCAGTGTTGCATGGCGGACAATTGATCGCAGGCTTAAAGTTCACGCAACCACAGACAGTTTATAAAGTGCTGAGTCAATATAACAAGACGCGCTGTCTCATGCGAAAGGCCTCGCTTTTATCGCGTACTAGCCCATCGCGCGAATACTGGTGATGCACTTGAACTAATTTGATTGTTTTGTTATCATTTGCATGGCTTTTCTTTTCCTGTCAAACAGATGCGTCGCATTAATTTTTGAAGGCTCGCAATCTGTTTACGATACACTTTTAGAATAACACTTAACTGTAAAAAATCTGATACTTGACAGGTGATTTGATTGCCTCGGATATACAACGCATAATGCAGAATGAATGAAATCGTTGCTACAATACTGCGATTGCTAGAACTCTCAAAATAGCCAGTGGTTTTAAAAATTGGGAAAAGTTAAACGCGCTATCGACAATGGGCCATCGCATTGCTATTTTGTTTGGCCAATCAAAACATGACTTTCCAAAATCGATCTGTCATACCCAATCTTAGTTGAATGAATTTATCCTACTTTTAATTTACCTTTCCTCTTATATAGTTTTAATCGCATTTGCGGTAAAAGTGATGGCTGGTACGCGATGATCTACGAAGGCTGATGAAATGGAAGAGATCCAGAGAACAACGATAAAGACTTACTTTGATCACACCTTAATTGTTTGAAACTCTGTTGATGTAGTAACGTTCTTGCGAAGCACACGACAATGGTTTGGGGCCTACAAAGGCCTGTCATCCGACAATTATGTGTTTCCGTGTACTTTCGTTATCGAAGAACGGCTGCAAATTACAGCAAAACGAAGAAAACGTATACACATGCTCTCTATCTGGCATCCCTTGACTCTGGCGTTTTAATAGTTGTCTGCATCGATGGTAACCTCATCGTTGTTGTCGTTGTCGTTGAAAGTGATGATTTCGCTGCCGACGTCTTTTATCCGCACCATTAGTACCGTAGTGCCGCTATTGTTTTGTAAGAATTTTATGATGAGTTCACTGGATGTTGCCTCCGGGAATGCAACCAGCATGATGCTAATAGAGCCATTCTATTAAAAAGAGACGTGGCATGGATATGATAGGAAGAAATAGGCATGAGATAATTAAAGGGTGCCTCTGAAGAGGTTTATTGCATCATAACTTCCATTCTTTCGGCTTTATCGATGGCATTATCGATGTACGGTTGGTCACTGTTCCTTTAAAACTTTCGCTTTGTAGTTCATTGATCTAATGGCGATCGCCAATCTATCAAATACGATTAAAATAAAAGTAGGTTAGGTAGATCAAAATTAGGAGGGTATAAATTGATTGAGATCGGAAATGACAGATCAAGATCAAAATGTCATATTTTGACGCCGAATCAAATCATCAAACATCAACCAATTATCAACCGGTCCGCTTAAGCTTTTCCGTAACAAGAATAGCCAGAAATAGACGCAGGTGAAAAAAAAAACCTTGAAGTTGACAGCATCAAATCGCCCAAACCTTCCTCATGTACTTCCTATGCAACGTCATGTGTACCCTGTACCAGACTCAAAGTGTGCGGCCAATCTTCCACACATACCCAGTCGCAATATGCGGCGTAACCCCTCTCCAATCCGCGCTCCTCAAGCATCAAGATCGCTTACAACAAGCGAGCAGTCATTATCCTTTTCGAAACTTGTGCGGACCTTCAGCTCCCGCCAAAAGTCTGTAGCCATCGCAATCAGTCCTTTCTCTCGCTCACTCTGGCTAGCACTACTACCAGTTCTAGCAATGCGCGTGTCCCCTCCTGACCAAGTAAAGTATCTGCGCTCTCTCCCGTCCGTGCGCGACAGCTGCCGCCGCGTTTTTCGACTCGCAAAGGCGGACAAACTGCCCCATTTCTCGGTGGTCGAGTCGAAGATTCCAGCTTTAGCTGATTACGTCATCACTGTAATCCGTCAATCGTACCCGAGCCCGAACGAGGTCCGCGTCCCCTTCCATTCGCGCTGGCGTCACTTTGAGACTGGCGACCCGCAACGTGTTGAAAAGATGACGTCATCATGGCACTGCGACCAGCTGGAAACAGCTCGACGATTGGTCGATTTGGCGATTGTAAGCGTCTTATTGGACGCCGGTGCAGGTCCCTCGTGGCGGTACCAAGAGCCCGGGACGGACAACGTTTACCGGCGCAGTGAGGGGCTGGGCGTCGCCAGCTTGCACATGTTTCAGGCCGGTAGTTTCTCAGCTGATCCAATCAACGAGCCTCATCGAGTAGACGCGCGAGCGCTGGCTCACCTGCCGGATGACGCAATCACCACAGCTTTTCAAGTGGTCAGACGAGATTGTGGTTTGCACAGTTTGTTTGTTGGTTTGTTTAGATTCTAAATTTGTGTCTTGAATTGCACGTTGAATGGAACAGACCGAGGCAAATCCGTTGCTGGGCTGCATGGGGCGCACGGATCTACTGAAGGTACTGGTGGTTGTTATGGTTGCTGCTTCTGACGACCTTGTGCAGCATAAGGAGTAACACTTTGTTTCTGACATTTCTCAATCTGTGTACCTCACGATGCAGCGTCTGGGAACGAGCATTGCCAACTACCCAGAGTTTTTAAGGGAACAGACGGGTCCGTTCGGCCTGGCAATATGGTGGAATATCTGAAAGAAAGACAGACTGTCTCGGGAGAAGTATCGATTACGGATCTATGGAAAGTGGTTGTATACGGACTGCAGGATATTTGGCCCGAGAGCCGAACACGTATTGACGGCCAGAACATGGGCGACGTGTGGGAGTTACCGTACGAGGAATTCTTCCAAAGTTCTGTGGGGACGAGTACTTGCGGGCATTAACTGAAGTTATCGTATCGTCCTGTGGTCAGGTACTTACCGGAACATGAAAAAGCAGGTAGATTCGTCAGTTTCCACAAGCTGTCACAGTGGTTGACGTACTCTCTAATGGAGCCGCTCCAAGAGGCCGGGTTCAAGATAACCGACCTTCACCTGATGACTGGTTCGTGTTCGTTTACTGTTCACTTCATTTGACGTTTCATCTGAATAACTGGTCGAAATCTGATACTTGTAGGGTTGCCCGAGTATCGCAATGGTGGACTTTTGGTGGACTTTGGTGTGCTCTTGCCCAAGTCGTCTAGCACTCTAGTTGATGAGTTTAGCCCAAGCGCTGAAGTGATCATTGAATGGCGAGCTCTTACTGTTTCGATCTTGGACGAGCTGCACGATGTAATCTTAAAGCGCCTTAACTTATCTGCCGAGGTTTTCCCGTTGGTTAAGGTAAGTGAACTGTACACGTACCCATCTTTGTGGTGTCAATTTAACATTTCCTGTACAAATTATTTAGATGCTCGAAGGTGGGACTTGGAAGGCAGGACGCGTTATCGCGGGCGAGAAACGCACGGACGGAGGACCTCCCATCAAGATCAACAGCGATGGCACTGTCTTCTAGCTAGGGTCGGTCAAAAGATGATGTCAGGCTCGTGCTGATGTTGCATTTTTTGCATGAATATTGTGCGTGATTATGAGCTCACAATAAATATAACTTTTTAGCAATACATTTACCGCATGCCTCGATTGCAGTTCGGCTAAATTACGTACAGCAATAGTTTGCCCTTGCTTAATGTCGAACATTTGTCTGCGCGCATGAAGGGTGAAAAGTCAAATGTTGCAGCTTTCCTAAATCTATGAAGTAGCTCCGGACCCGTTGCAAAAGCCGTTAGCCTACATACTGTTAGGAAAGGTGCTTGTCGAGGTGAATGCAGAATACAAAGCGAATTATAGTCAGGTCCTTGGATCGCAACTTCTTCTTGCTACTCTGACCCTAATGGATTCTTCGACTATACAACAGTAATCGACACTACGCGCATTATTCGTTGTGTAGTCGCGCATGAGTAATCTACTCTATACACATGACTCATCAGATAGTCGCACATGAACAATCTACTTTACTGGTATTACTCATGGGATAGGCGCACTACCAATTAACAGAATGTACCTCTTGTTTGTCGCTCGCTGGACGAGGCTCATCCTTAACAACATATACAAGCTGCGTTCATCAGACAAATGCCGTCCACGTGTTAGCTCTTAGGAGCGAGTTGCAATAGATTGCTCTTTCTGTCGTCATTTATGCACTCAAACTTCCTAGTCTAAAACGACTTATCAGAAGTATGCAATTTCGGGAACGTCGCGTATCCTCAGCGTTTTTCTCTGAATTTAATCGAATCAACCAGAGCGCGAGAAACATTTTTTAAACGAGAGTCAGACCTCTCGGCCACACGTGTATTTGCAGAAGCTGAATTAGATTGTGACACATCACCTCTACCTCCATAGTATCACCCGCTTGATTAGTCCGCAATTCTTTCTCTTAACCTAAGATGTATCGTGCCATCGCAACATGTTCCTGTTCGAAGTGCAATGATCTGGCTTTATAGATCAGCTTAGTTTTGTTGATGTTGATGTGCGCAGGCGAAGGCAAATTGTGAAGTGAATATATTTATGGTCCTTAGTTCGCACACTTGCTTCGCTACCTCTAAGCCACTCATTTCCTATACTTAGACAAACTATATCAGTCCCACTGATTTAGCTAGACCAATGAACACCCTTCGATCTTCTCAAGATCTTCTAGAAGGTTCACTGGTTAATCTAGACCAATCAACACCCTTCAATCTTCTCAAGATCTTCCAGAAGGTTTAAGAAGCTCTCCTTGTGACGCCACCCGATGACGTCATGCTGTGCTTCTTCTCAGCCAGTCCTTCTCGATTCTTCCAAACCTATCCATGAACATAAAAGCAGTAGACGGTGCTATGTTAACACTCCCACTCACCGCTATTGCTAAATGCCCTTGGGTCCAATGCAGCTTGCTTGTATCAAATAGTTCAGTCGCTTGGTCCCCAGAGCCTTCGTTAGCATGTCGGCCAATTGGTCCATGGTGGAGATGTACTTGACCACGATGATATCGTGGGCCACATTCTCCCGGATGAAGTGGTGACGAATGTCAACGTGCTTGGTTCTGGCATTGTAGCCGGCATTGCTGGCAAGCCCAATTGCTCCTTGATTGTCTTCCCAGACCCACGTTGCTCCCACTTGCTCGTGACCTAGATCCTTAAGCAGCGCACGAACCCATAACACTTCCTGTGTACACAGGCTTAAAGCCAAGTACTCTGCCTCAGCAGAGATTAGAGCCACCGTGCGTTGATACTTGGACTTGTATATGGCTGGTGCGCCACCGATGATCACCATTATCCCTGACACGGAGCGTCGATCATCGATGTTGCTACCCCAGTCCGCGTCCGTATACGCTGTAGCTGTTACTTCGCTAGCGCTGCCGTCGTAGATTATCCCGTAGTCTCTTGTCGTCTTGAGATACCGAAGAACACGAATGGCTGCCTTCCAATGTTGCTGACCTGGATTCTCCAAAAACCTTGATAACTGCGTGATGACATACATCACATCTGGGCGCGTACATGTCGTGATGTATAGCAAACATCCGATCAGCGACCTGTACGGCTTTGACTGCATTTCTGCTCTATCGACATCCGTCGTTGGGGATTGCTTCTTTGACAGCTTCAGGCCGGACTCGCATGGGTTGACCACTGCCTTTGCGTCCTCTTGATTAAAACGGCTGGCCACATCATCGATGTATCGAGTCTGTCGAATCATCAGCTTACTGCAGTTGTGGTCATGATCAATCTCCACACCAAGAATAAATTTAGCCTTGCCTAGCTCCTTCATACGAAATGAGCTCTTAAGTGCTGTCTTGACCTCTTGAATCTCCCTGCTGGTCTTGGCGGCGATGATCATGTCGTCGACGTAGAGACAAACATAGACATAGTTGTCATCTTGATGCTTGACGTAGATACACTGATCTGCTCCGCTGCTACGAAATCCGATCTGTAAGAATACAACATGGATTGTCTTGTTCCACGCACTTGCAGCCTGCTTGAGACCGTAGATTGCCTTGTCCAACTTGCACATCATCTTCTCCGCATTAGCTATGCCATTTGGCACTTCCATGTACACCTCTTCCTTGAGATCACTGTTCAAGAACGCCGTGTCTACGTCCAGCTGCTCAGTGACGTATCCCTTTGTCACCACCACAGCTAGCACAACCCTGATCGAGTTCATGTTTGCCACGGGAGAGTACGTCTCGAAGAAGTCGACACCGAATTTCTCCTTGAACCCCTTTGCGACGAGTCGAGCTTTGTAGCGCACCACTTGTCCGTGTTCGTTTCGCTTCTTAGCGAATATCCATCTGCACCCGATTGGTCGAATGTCTTGCCGTTTTGGTACCAGTGTCCAGGACCCGTTATCGGCGTGCGCCTTGAGCTCCGCTTGCATCGCTTGAATCCACTTGCTGTTGTCTTCGCCTTTTAACGCTTGGCTGTATGTTGATGGAGCGTCGTCCGCCTCGCCAACGCTTGCAGAATAGGCTAATACAGCCTCTGCAATGAGACCTTCGTCATCAATTCTTGCACGCTTTGGAGAAGGTGGTCCATCGCTACCTTCTGACGTGTCTTCACTGCTATTCTCATTCTCAAGCAGCAGCATTCTGTCTCGTGAGCGTCTTATCCGATTTATCTCCGGCTGAAATACCAACCTGTCCTCCTGAAAAGCTTGTCTCGGAGCTTGATATCCCGTTATCTCATCGCCTCTTGGTTCTTGAGTTTCCGGATCGAGTACTTGAGGTATGATGATACCTGTTTCGAATGGAGCCGATTCTATCTCGTCCATCTCGACATCAGGAGCGCTTTCTTCGACATCTTCCATCGTCTCGTCTCCATCATACGGACGAACCACCGGAATCACTGCTTCACCAGTGTCCCTAATATACTTGACGACTGGTACTTTATCTGGTACCACCGTGTCGTATATGCCTTCAACTTCCCGCTCGTCCAGCTTTACGGAGCGCGATATGACAACCTTCGACCTTTCCAGATTGAACACCCTGTATCCCTTGGTGTTCTCCGCATATCCGAGGAACATACACCGGTAACTCTTTCGTTCGAGCTTCGTCCTCTTGGCGTCGTCAATGTGAGCATACCCTTGCGATCCAAACACACGCAAATGCTCAATACTCGGCTTCATCTTGAAACCAACCTCGAACGGTGTTACGTCCGAATTTGCAGAGTTTGTGGATCTGTTGATCAAGTACACAGCCGTACTGACCGCCTCTGCCCACCACTGCATGTCGATACCCTTGTAGTACAGCATGCTCCTTGCCTTCTTCATGATAGTGCGATTCATGCGTTCCGCAACGCCGTTCTGTTGCGGACTATATGGTACTGTCCGCTGGTGCATGATACCATTACGGGCGCATATATGGGCAATCTTCTTGTTGACAAACTCCGTCCCGTTATCCGACCGTATACACTTCAAGTGCTTGCCCCATTGATTCTCATAGCTAGCCTTGAACTCGCTAAGCCTTGCGGCCACCTCGCTCTTGTGCTTCATGAAGTACGCTGCCACAAATCTTGAGTAGTCGTCTACGAATGTCAATACGAATCGTGCACCACCCTTTGAGACCGTCTTCATCGGTCCCATCACGTCCGTGTGTACTAGTTCCAACACACGTGACGTCCTTGTTAGGGATTGAGACGGGAATGTATCGATCGTCAGCTTGCCCTTCATGCATCCACTGCACAGCTTCTCGATGCCCTGCTTTACCGCTGGCATACCACTCGTAGCGCGCTGTGTCTTGTCCATACCAGATCTTCCGGTGTGTCCCAAGCGAGCGTGCCAAAGCTTCCACTCACTTTCAGCCCCTGCGTATTCTACAAGCCGGGCTTCTTCTTGTTCGCAATCCAGGAAGTACGCCTTGCCAATCTTCTTGCCGCTTGCAATCGCGCGCTTGGCACTCCAAATGATGCAGGACGAGCTTTGAAACTCCACCCTCATGCCTCGTCCTGCCATTTTGCCAACGGACAGCAATCGTTTGTCAAGTCCTGGTATGTGCATGACATCGACCATCATGATCCGTCGACCGTCTAGACCTTTCAGCTTGACTGTTCCCACTCCAGCTACCTGCAGCTTCTTGCCATCAGCGATAGAGACTTGTTGACCAGTCTTCAACTCCTTGTACTCAAATAGATCGCTCCGATGTGGTGTCATGTGCGACGTATCCCCGCTGTCGATAAGCCATTCTTCGCATTGCAACTCACCAGCAGCAAACACAGCACCTTCTTCCTCGCCATTGCTACGCTTCAGGCAGTCCCGCTTATAGTGTCCGACTTGACCACACTTAAAGCACTTGCCTTTAATTCCGGTGTTGGTTTTCCGTAGATAGTTTCCCTTGCGGCCGTTACCTTGGCCTCCCTTGAACCGTCTACCGTTGCTGCTTACAGGAAGCGACTTCTCCGTAGTCTCCTTCCTCTGCAATCGTTCATGCTCCTTGAGCAGCTTTTCCTTGACCTCGATGAGCGTTATGTCCTTGGAATTCTCCACAATTGACGA